AAATTACCAAAAAAATCATCTGGTGGATGGTGGAAGGCTGTGATGGTTAAAAATTTACTGCAAAGGGCTTAAAATTGCTCAGGAAAAGTCTTAATAAGAATAGCTCTATGAACAAAGTCAGGCCTTTTCGCCTTTATACGCTAAAGATGTGGGATGCTGGGAAAGTGCCCTTACATGTACCCAGGTGAAACTCTGGGGCAGGCACTTTGCCTTCAGTGGGAAGGGATTGTTACGATTATTTTCAAAAGCAAATGTTGGAGGGTAAGAGCGATGTAGCAATTCCAGGGCTCCAGGTGGAAGAATATATAGGCAGGAGCACAGGTGAGGAGGGAAGTCAGGGAAAGTCAGGGGAGAGGGTTTGTCTTAAGACAAACTTGCAGGTTGCTTCAGTGCCAGCACCAGCTGTGGAGTCTCCTAACAGGGCAAATCCTGCTAACTCACGGTGTTATGTACACAAGTGTCTCAGCTTACCGACGGGCACAGGTCGACAATTCACTGAGATATCTTGGAAGCAAAGGCGAATCTACACAGACAGAAATTAGCGTTTACCTGGTCCCTGAAGGAGGATCAGGTAGAATTGTCCTAAGGCCATTTAATGGGCAGTGATTTGTCTCGGGTTGGGCCAATCCCATGAACAGATAAAGGTCCGTCTAAACACACTCTCTCCTCATTTTACAGATGTCTCCTGACTCCATGGATTACTTGGGAGAGTCAGAATCTCAAATTGTATACCTGGCCCTGCTACTGGTAAGAAGACCCCTCCTGGTCAATGTTCTTGCATGAGGGAACACAGCTGTGTATGGTTTGAGCTTCTTTGAATTGCATCAAGTTAAAAAGTTTTGGTCATTTTGGGCATCTGAAGCAATGGATATTCTCTCTCTCTCTCTCTGTCTCTCTCTCTCTCTCTCACACACACACAATGGCTTTTAAATCTAGACCACTATCTTTACTACAACTGTCCGATGCCAAGTGTGAAATCTAAGTTCCAAACAGCTTGAGTCATACTGTTTCCAGCCTACTACTTACTGTGATTGTCTTATGCTCTCTCTGGATAGCAGTGAAGCTAATTGTGGGAGTTTCATATACATTAAGTAGATTGTCTTTCAATCTCATGAAAATGTTATCAAATCTAGTTTTACGTATAATCGACCTCCTTCCATTAATTCCAATGTTGAAGTCATTGCTCGCGTGGTGATATTAATTTTATTTGTCTTTCTCTTTCCCTAGCCTTATCTTCAGTTTTTCCTTTTCTTCTTCATTCTGCGATGTCTAGAAAAGAACTTCAGGAAGGAAGGAATGAGAAACGACCCTGTATTCAGGTGGAGAGAATTCAAGTTGAACTTCTTGTTTTGTTTTAAAAATTCATTGCATAGAGACATTTTAATATGCCTAAATTAAGTAAAAAAAGTATCATATTCAATTCGTGTTAAATTATTTATTTCTATAACTGGTAAAATCCCAGCATCAGAAATAATTTTTCCCACAGCCTGTGTGGTTTATTTAGTGTGAACCTATTAATGCCTTAAATTACATTTCTAAAGCACATTCAATGAGCTTACTAATGAAGTTATAGCTGCTGCAATGACCTTGAGCCTAAACTCCAATCCTTTACCTACAGAATTTTTAAAAATATTTACCACTATTCTATTATATTTTTAGGTTCAATGTACAAATATCCATTGTATACCATTAACAATTAGAGAATAGAAGTAAACATGACTTCATGTTAGAAACTTCATTACTTTCTATAAGTTTTTCTACTTGCAAGTTGTCATTATCACACCGTTTTGATTTCAGAATTTCTCCAAAAAGTAGTGATGTTTTCCCAAATCTGGAAGAACCTGAAGTGGAGGATGAAGATGTTCAGATGGAAAGAACCAGAACAGCAAACGCTGTGACTGTCACAGACACAGATGAGGTAGAGGTCACAAAGATGCCCACCCAGTATTCTTTTCTGTCAGATAAAGGGAGCAATGCTCTAATCTTAAGCTTTGAAAAACACTTGAAGTTCTTTCATTCTTACACACAGAGCTCTTGAATTGACCTCAACAGCTACGCAGTGCCCACAAAGGCCAGGGGACAAAGGAAACACACAGACACAGACATTAATGTGTAAATTTATTGTTCAGGGTCGGTTTTGATAAGTATATAGCT